TACTCACAAGGGATTCGGAGGTGCCTGCCTTTTCCAAGCAACTACTGTGTATCCGTAGATGAGTTGATGGGTAGGAAAGTGAGGTGAGGGCTATTTTCCATTCTTCTAGCTATTGGGAAGTGCTAAACGGGTTGCAGCTAAACATCAAAAAAACCAAGATTATGGCAACAAGAATGATTGACAACTGGAAAATAGAGGGAGAAATTGTGGAGGCCGTGACAGACTTTGTATTTCTAGGTGCAGATGCAGATTACTGCAGATGCAGACTGTGGCCAGGAAATCAGAAGACGCTTCCTTCTTGGGAGGAGAGCAATGTCCAGTCTCGATAAAATAGTAAAGAGCAGAGACATCAGACTGGCAACAAAGATCCATTGCCTAGTCAAAGCCATGGTATTCCCTGTAGTAACCTACGGATGTGAGAGCTGGACCTTAGGGAAGGCTGAGCGAAGGAAGATCGATGCTTTTGAGCTGTGGTGTTGGAGGAAAGTGCTGAGAGTGCCTTGGACTGCGAGAAGATCCAACCAGTCCATCCTCCAGGAAATAAAGCCCGACTGCTCACTGGAGGGAAGGATACTAGAGACAAAGCTGAAGTCCTTTGAATGCCACATCATGAGGAGACAGCAAAGCCTAGAGAAGACAATTATGCTGGGGAAAGTAGAAGGAAAAAGGAAGAGGGGCCGACCAAGGGCAAGATGGATGGATGGCATCCTTGAAGTGACTGGACTGACCTTGAAGGAGCTGGGGGTGGTGACAGCTGACAGGGAGCTCTGGCGTGGACTGGTCCATGAGGTCACGAAGAGTCGGAGGCGACCGAATGAATGAACAATAAGCTATTCACCCCTTCTGCAGTAAAATGGTTGTCTTTGCTCTTTTGTGGGCTAACATGGCTTTAGCCAATGGTCTTTCAGCACTATGTAGCAATGCAGCATTTTGGAAAGAGGAAGGTATTGCTGAGGATTCACCTCAATCCAGAAAAAAGTCAGTTGCTGCTGACCATTTATATTGCCCACAGTGCTGTGCATAATATTATCAGGCCTTCCGAATGCTTACAAACTAGAGGTACACTGGAGGATCTCATGGGATTCTTTCCCAGTAAGCAGTTCTAATTTATAAAGCTCATTTAGTATCAGCAGGAGCCTGTCTTCACCGTCAGGCAGAGTTCCAGCCTCCCAATTTATTTGCAACATGCAGGGTTTGATCTCTCTTTCTTTCTAGTGTATCAACTTTGATATAAAACTTGAATGCATCACCAGAATTGGGAAACTTTGCTAGAAGGAACCGAGACTTTAAAGGTCTAATGTTTAATGCTATAAATATAATTCATTTGGAAGCCTGTCCATCTGGTCTCACTGCAGATTGCCAATACCATCCAAGAAGCAACTGGCTCTTTTTTCCTTCTCCCTTCATGAACTCAGCTAATGACTGCTAAAGGCATTGGAGAAATCAGCAAGGTGACTCTCATTAACAAGACAAATCGCTTTCCCCTCCCATATAATTTCTGTTTGATTGCTTATTGGTGTGGCTATAAGGGAACAATAATTTCCAAACATAGTAGGACCAGATTGAGCCATTAGGGAAGACCCTGAAAAAGGTAGCACTGAAAGTACATAATCTATTGGGTAAAAAGGTCCTTTGAGCCACTCTTAAAGCAAAATACTTTGAGAGGATCTTTCCTTCCTTCCCTCCTTTCCTCCTTCCTTCTGGTGAGGAGTAATTGGAAAAATAGATATTTATTTATGTATAAATAAATTGTATATACTTTATAAGCACTGAAATGTATAGAAAAATCAGGCTCTCTCTGTATAGAAAGAATGCTAATGGACAAGCAAGCTGCTGTCCAGGTACAGCAAAAGGGGAGCTGAAGAGGGGGCATGATATCTATACATTCCAGGAGAGAGATAAGCCTGTCCTAGTGGCAACAGACTGATACAACTAGGCTCTAAAAGGAGCCCCCCTCTCCCTCCTGACAGGTCAGAGTTAGGCCCCTTGATTGATTAATGTAAGCTGCTTGCTGTTTAGAAAGACACAGAGACATGCTTTTTGTATGTTGGAAGATAAAATTTGATGCTAAGATGACGTAGTGAATGAGGTCAATGTATGTAGATGCATGTTCTTTGTTTGCTTGCATTTGGAGACTATAAAAGGGAAAGTTTGCACCTATATCATTGCTCTGGTGCTTTTGGACAGAACTCCTCACCAGAGTCCCAGCTGGAAATAAAATCTGTGCCTTTGAGACCTCCGGAGCCCTCTTTGTCTCTTTTCCTGAANAAGAGCATCACATTCCCCTCTTTCGTCCCCGCCCCCTTTCCGTTAGACCTGAATGGTCTCTCCCAGCCACCCCTCTCCTTCAACTTTTTCGTCCTTCCCCGCCTTTACGTTACGAAGGCCCTCATTCTTCATTTCCAGGCGCCACGCCCCTTCCCTCGTGGCCACGCCCTCTCTTCTCCCTGATTGGTCCCTCATCTCCCCGCCGAGGAGTAATTTCCCTTTAAGCTCCTCCTCCTTCCCTTCTCTTGCTTCGGGGCTGCGAGTCGGTATTGCTGCTGGAGGAGAAAGGAGGAGGGTACGGTGTCCCGGAGAGGACATGCCCCGAAAGAGGCCGTTCAGCGCCAAGCAGAAGAAGAAACAACTGCAGGACAAACGGGAGCGAAAGCGGCAAGGTGAGAGAGAAGCGGCAGGGAAAGGGGCCGGGGCCGGCGGGACCCCAGGAAGTGGACCCCTCCCCTTTCCTTGGGAGATGTTGGGACATCCCATTCTCCCGTTGAGGGAGTTGGAACAATCCATTTTCCAATTTGGGGGGATTTGGAACAGTCCATTCCTCAGTCTTGGGAGATTTGGTGCAGTATTAGGATCCATACCTTTTTCCTCCCCTTGAAACGTCTTCCAATTTTTATTATTATGTTTTGGATGATTGACAGTCAACGTTATCGTGGCAACATCTGGAAGTCGTGATCAACACCCCCCTAAATATGTGGGTGGTATAGGCCACTCCTTCTCCTTGAAAACAGTAGGTCTGCTGGTAGAGTATATGACCTCTACCTTGTCTGCATCACAAAATAATCAGCATTAGGATCTTGAAAAATTGGCTGCAATGCATACAACATTTGCAGAAAGTGCAAATAAATCATATGGAAAATTCCTGCCTTTTCCCTCTTCTCCCCCCATTCCTTCTTTTGGACCCAGTGGGTGGGTTGGTGAGTCAGGGTGTGTGTCCACATTGTAGAATTAATGCAGTTTGACACCACTTTCAGTGCCATGACTCAATGTGATTGGATCATGGGAGTTGTAGTTTTGCAAGGTCTCTGCCAAAACAAACTACAATTCCCAGGATTCCATAGCATTGAGCCAAGTCAATCAATGTGGTGTCAAACTGCATTAACTCTGCTGTGTAGATGCACCTGGGCATTTCATAATCTATATGGAATTGATTATAGAATCAAAGAGTTGGAAGAAACCTCATGGGCCATCCAGTCCAACCCCCTGCCAAGAAGCAGGAATGTTGCATTCAAATAACCCCTGACAGATGGCCATCCAGCCTCTGCTTAAAAGCTTTCAAAGAAGGAGACTCCACCACACTCCGGGGCAGAGAGTTCCACTGCTGAATGGCTCTCACAGAGTAGTCCTTTTCCTAAAACTTTTAAAAGAATAATCTGTATATTGTCCAGCAGTCGAAATTATCATTATGTAATTTGTAAAGCCAGTAATTTTCCAATTCATCGCACCCCCCAAATGGGAAGTTTAGCCTCACAACTCTATGTATTTTATGAGTTCCTGGACTCTAAAATTACAACAGCAAAACAGCAGAGAGGAAACAACCAGGCACATCTTAACACCTCTCAACAAAAGATTTTCCCAGGCTCAGCCAGGCCTTCAAATGCTAATGAAGGTGGTCAGTTGAAACATTCACACCTAGCTCCAGCAGAGAGCTCCTTGCCCCACCCCAGTCATTCCACAGATATATAAACCCATTTTCCTATTTCCAACAGACCTCACTACCTCTGAGGATGCTTGCCATGGATGCAGGCGAAACGTCAGGAGAAATGCCTCTAGAACATGGCCCTATAGCCCGAAAAAACCCACAAGAACCTAGTTCTGCTCCTATTTTATCTCATTTCAGTCTTTTAATTGTTTTTATCCTGTATATGCGGCCCGCCCATTGTTATCGTCACTATGATTGTGTTTATTAGAATGTTCTTTTATGACTGCTTTTTTTTAAAAAAAATGTAATTTTGATGTTGTTGTTATTTGTTGTTTATGTTTTGATTTTATTGATTTTATTGCTGTAATATGTTGTCCGGGCTTGGCCCCATGTAAGTTGCTCCGAGTCCCCATTGGGGAGATGGTGGCGGGGTATAAAAAAAGATTATTATTATTATTGTATTGTCAAAGGCTTTCATGGCCGGAATCACTGGGTTGTTGTAGGTTTTTTTGGGCGATATGGCCATGGTCTAGAGGCATTCTCTCCTGACGTTTCGCCTGCATCTATGGCAAGCATCCTCAGAGGTAGTGAGGATGCTTGCCATAGATGCAGGCGAAACGTCAGGAGAGAATGCCTCTAGACCATGGCCATATAGCCCAAAAAAACCTACAACAACTCATTATTATTATTATTTATTTATTTATTTACTTACTGCCTTTCTCAGCCCGAAGGCGACTCAAGGCGACTTACACTGGCACAATTTGATGGCACAATGAACATAAACAAGATTAAAACAAAATTAAAAACATTTAACACACATTATAAAACCCTGTAAAAGGCATTAAAAGCATAAAACACCAGTAACTTCCTATTAGCTCGTTTTCCAAAGTCATTTATACCATTAAAACTAACTTCCCCCACCTAATATATATATTTATTTTTATTATATAATATAATATATATTTGCATAATTTATATAATTATATAATTTATATAATTTATATAATTGTATGTTATAAAATTATATAATTTGTAAAGCCAGTAATTTTCCAATTAGGTTGTTGTAGGTTTTTTCGGGCTACATGGTCATGTTCTAGAGGCATTTTCTCCTGATGTTTCGCCTGCATTTCAGCAAGCATCCTCAGAGGTTGTGAGGTCTGTTGGAACTAGAAAAATTGGGTTTATATATGGTCCCGACTCCAATAAGGCACTGCTTCCGGGGCCACATCCGCCATCTTGAAACAACCGCTACTCCACTTCATTCCAATTCATCACTTATACCACTAATGTACCCATTCAAACTAATTTTCCCCACCTAAAAAGCAATGATCCTAAAATTAAAAAAATAAATAAAAAGTTAAAACGGACTTCCCACTTTCAAGACACACAGGAAAAGTGTTGTTGTTGTTGTTATATCCCACTTTTATAACAGCTCACAGTATTAACAGACAACACAATTTAAAATCCATGATATACAAATATTAGAACAGAATGAAAGTCAATACAAATATTACATATATTATTATTAATATTGCAATATAGTGGTATAGTATAATATAATAATATATAATACTAATATTGTGCTACGCTAATAATAATGTATATATACATATAATATTGAAATACTATTATAATGTAATACAATATGTTACTAGTAATAATACAATATGATAATATATAATATTATAAAACTAATTTATTACATATAATACTATGGATAATATTTAATATATCATGATATACTGTTTTATTATTGTATACTTGTATATTTTAAGTTGTAATGTTTTTGATTGTGAGCCGCTTTCAGTCTGTATGGAGAGATAAAGCGGGATATAAGTAAATAAATGAATAAAAATAAAAAGTCAAAAGAATTTAAAACCCTTAAAAACATAATTAAGTTTGCCCTCTAGTTTGCTCATAACAACTTTTTTTAAAAGCTAACTTCTCTTAAATAACTTCTTTATTCTAACTTATTTTTTCAATATTTTCCTAACATCATTTGGAAAGGTACATCTAAATTCATTTCTCTTCTAACTGTCTAAGGAAAGGTGATCCAGCCTTTTAGAAAGAAATGTTCCACAGACATTTATGCAAAGTTACAGCGCTCTTGCCCCAACTCCCTGAAATAGTTTATCCTCCAGCTTTTGCTTCTATGTCTAAAAGAAAGTTGACCCTGAACTTTTAAAGAAAGCAATAGCCCTCCCTTTTAGCTTTAATCAGAATACATTCAACGTTTCTGGCCTGAAATGGTTGGATAATGACATTTGTAAAGCAAAGGATTATTCTCTCATTGCAAAGCATTGAAGTGTCTACTGGATTTCTTTGTACAGCAAACATCTGCAGTGCAGTTATATCATCCTCTCTTTCTCTCCCACCTGTTTTAATAGAATGTCATCTTCTCCAATATATCTGGAACGGCTCATCCATGTCTGCCACTGTTAGGGAGAAAGAAACAAGAAAAATATGTAACCATTTGTTCTCACTGTTTTTAATCTTGAATTGAGCATCTCCCCAGAAGTGTGCAGACATATCAAATATATATATATATATATATACTCAAAATTATGGCTAGATTGTCAAGTGGGCTTGCTTCCACATGAGGAATTTATGGAAGAGAAGGTATGCACGTTGCACTGTAGAAGTCATGCAGTTTGAATCACTCGAACTGCCATGGCTTGATGCTGCAGAATCATGGGATTTGTAGTTTGGTGAGGCCTCAGGATGTTTTTGCAGAGAAGGCTAAAGACCTTGTAAAACTACAACTCCCATTATTCCATCGCAATGAGCCATGGTAACCAAGGGGTGCCAAACTGCATTCGTTCTATAGCGTAGACGCAGCTCAGTGGACAACTTTAAACCATCCGCTTTCTTTCATAGAGTTAATGTGAGAATAGATGTGTGTTAACAACAGGGAGGTCCTCGTTTTGAGTTTTTAGAAGGATGGATAAAATAAAAATTGTATTCAATAAAATAGAATTGGGGTGATGGAAAAGTTGTCAAGATCAACAAAATAGCCCATTTATATACAAAATAGAAAATAAATAAGTACAGCGAATAATATGACTTGAAACTTATTATACTGTTCAAATTCACAGTAATCACAAATGATATTGTATGGGTTTTTGTACAATCACTCTGAAATGGTATCGACGTCGTGTGTTCTTATGCCGAGTTGAACATGAATCAAATTCACAATAATCACAAACAATATTGTATGGATTTTGTAAAATCACTCTGGAATGGTATGGACGTCGTGTCGTCAAGATCTCAGCTTATTAAGATTGTCAAAAATAATTACTCTTGCCAATAAGATTGTTGCTGGATTGCAATCTTCTTCATCCCTTGTTATCTACCAGGTTGGCTGGAATTGCAGCCTGATATCTGGAGGCCTGCATATTCTACACCCCAAGGGTGCATTTGCCCTGTAGAATTAACTTTAAGTTCCACGACTCAGTGCCATGGGATCATGGCAGTTGTAGTTTTGCAAGGCATTTGTTATGATATTATGTATAATACTGTATGCTGTATAGGCAGTCCCCAAGTTATGAACAAGATAGGTTCTGTAGGTTTGTTCTTATGTTGGAACTGGCACATTTTTAAGTGTAATTCCAGCCTATCTATATCTATATATGAGTTTTGGATAGCATAGGGAAGGGTTAACACCCTATGGTGTTTGTTATGCTGTCTGTTCAGAAGATTTCACCTCATTTTCTGTCCCTGTGATAATTGGATTTTGAAAAA